GAAGGTGAATTACTTCCGTTGCGACGTGAACGACTCCTGAGTTGTAAGGGCGCGGACGGCTTGGTAGGGGCATTTTACTGGTTCCCATCGATCACTACCGATCCTTCTTTGGAGATTTGTCAAGTTTCTGAAAAGCTCTGCCATAGAATGAGCTCCATTTACACTCAACGGGAGATCTCACCGAGGTGAAACCTGTAATTCAATGGGAACTAGCGAAGGTACAGAATGCCCCCCCCCCCCCGCTCCCCTGAGCCATATAGCGCTGTTGTAAGCTGCCCTTCTGTCACTCGAAAGTGCGCATTAGTGAGGCTGGAGGCTTACGATACCTTTATGTTCTTAATGTCTACCCGCCTCGCGTCACCAGGAAGCCTTTAGAAAGGAAAGTAGTAGGTTGACTGAGGCAGTGCGCGGGTTGTCCGGCGGGATCTCCATTAACTAACTTGGAGGATAATAATCGAAGAAAGGAACACTATCTTGTCGTGGTATTATTCAGGTTATCTCTGCTTCTGTGAAAAAGAAAAGAGAAAGCAAGTCGAATGTCTATGTAGCCTCATTTCAGGAAGTAGACGACCAGATGATGTCTGTACAGAACAAGAACTCGTCATATTTCGTTGAATGGATTCCAAACAACGTGAAAACTGCCGTTTGTGATATTCCTCCTCGTGGACTGAAGATGGCTGCTACTTTCGTTGGTAACTCGACTGCGATCCAAGAGCTGTTCAAGCGTATTTCGGAGCAGTTCACAGGTTGGTATTTTTTTTGAATTGTCGCATAGGATAGTTCATCTCTTCTATAATTGGTCGCCGTTTAAGCCTATGTTCCGTCGCAAAGCCTTCCTTCATTGGTATACTGGTGAGGGTATGGATGAAATGGAGTTCACTGAAGCTGAATCGAACATGAACGATCTTATCTCCGAATACCAACAGTACCAGGTTTGTGCTTCTTCCTTACTCTTCTTTATTTTCAGGTTGTATGCCCCGCTTGGGTCTGCATTACCGGATAGTGCAACAGTTTTTTGCAATTTCGTGATTTTCAGGAAGCCACCGCTGACGATATGGGCGATCTCGATGCAGAAGGCGCAGAAGAGCCGTACCCCGAGGAGTAGTGATCTACCCGTGTTGCGCTGTTTTTTCTGTGTCAATGCGAAATACACATTGGTTGCGTTGCTTTCCATGAAACATGTTCAAATAGAATCTTATTTTGGTATTTGTTGCGAGAAGCTCATAGTAAATTCGGTTTGGGTATCACAGTCAAAAGTTCAAAAATCTCGACATATCCTTTTATGGGCTTGAACGTCTTTGTCGGTAACGTTAATGAAATTCGGCTCGGGAGGGGCCCCCAAATATAGCCAGCAAAGCATGTGAGTGTAACTTTTTGAAGACTGGCTAATGCTGTGACAAAGATTGACGCATTTCTAAAACGACCTACAAAAAAATAGAGTGCAAGATGCTGCTCTCTTCCTATTCGGGAGAACGGTGCTCAAGTTCACATGGCTGAGCAGACAATTCGGGATTAATAGGGAGGAGAGAAAAATCTTTCAACGGGCGTTCAAACCAATATTGGATAGCGACATGTGTCTGCTTC